CTCTGGCTTGGGCACCCCAAGCACACGCGGCGCTCACCTCCTCGAGTCTTTCAATATTCGCTTTTAAACAAGGGACGCAGGATCTCAGCTCGCTGTTCTCATCATCCAGCTGTTGCAGCCTGTGACAGTAAAGAGATGTGTAAGAAACTCACCCAAGCATCCTGAGTGCAGGAGACCCAGCTGAAACATCACTAGGAATATTAAAACCCAGGATCTGCTGAAGGCAAAGCCAGTTAGGATTTATCTTTTCAAAGCAAACCCTGAAACTTCTCCTATTTCTACTCCCAGGGGAAACAGCAGGGTATCCACATGACTTTTGGCAAGCAGGTTGTGCCCTTCTCAACCAGCTCTTCTTTAGGCCAAAGGTTTCATCAGCCCACAGGAAAGCCTTAGCAATAGGCACCAAAAAGCAGCCACATCACCCTGGGCAAAGCTTCAGAGAGAGTTTCAGCTCTGCATTCTCCATTTGCCATGGTAACTGCCCTACCACAAGCCTGGTAAAAATACCCATCGCCTTCATCTTTCATTTACTGCAAGGGTTGACCAAGCATTATAATGACTTTAGTTACACCTTTACCAGAGTTAAACTCACTGTTCAGCTGCACTTCTGTCTCCCCAAAGGCTGCAGCTGCAAAGCAACAGTCTGTCCCTGTAATTCCAGTGTGCACGTGGGGGTCCTGCCACCACTCAGCCCCACCTGGCCTGCAGGTTCTCAATCTCGATGCTCTTTTCCCTCTCCATTTTGCTCAGCAGCTCCCTCTGCTTCTTGATCTCTTCCAGGAGTGTTTGGTCAGCTCGAAGCTCCTGCTCCTTCAGCTGTTCCTCGAGAGCGTTTGCTCTGTGGGAGAGGAAAGAGAGGATTAACCCCGGCATGCTGCCATCCCACGGGAGGGATCAGACTCTTCCCAGCCTTTCTCCCACTGCCCAGCACACGCAGTGCAAAAGCAACTCAGTCCACGAAACCCCCCCGGACACTATTGCTGACCAATGGTGACTGTTGAATAAAGTAAGGCAGGTGGTATGTGTCTCTAGATGGTTTGGTTTGGTTTTTTTTTTTTAAGTCTCCAGGCTGCATCAAACCCCTTTTGAAGGGAGGAGGCCAACAAGTGGGTGAGGTGAGGGTGAAAGCACAGCAATCACTTTGTAACTCACGGGTCACACTCACAGCATCACCCAGAACTTAGTCGGAAACTCACAGAATCGTTTAGATTGGAAAGACCTTTAAGATCCTCGAACCCAAACGTAAATCCCAGGGCTGTGGCCATGGCAGAGAAATCCTCCTTCTAGCATTTTGGCCTCCTTGTTGCCCGAAGGAATACAAAAAGACAACAGCCCAAATCCCCCTCCCTTTCACTCTCTCATGTACCCACCAAAAAACCCCAAACAAATAACAAAAAAACACGGGATCTGCAGGTCAACCTCCTCTCTTTGACGAGGAGCGAGTACACTTGGGGCTTGGCTTGCTTAAAAGCTGACTGACGCTTCTGGGCCAAGCCCCTGAAGTGAAAACATCTCCCTCCGCTGCAAAGTTTATCAGGGTTTAGAGAAACCTTTGTTTGAGTGGCTCAGTTCCCTGACACGGTTTGTTACTTAACAGTCTTACAGCCCTATAGATAAACTCCTGCCAGGTTTATCTGCCGAGGGTAAATACGCTGCTGGAGGAGAGCAGCCTGCCAGATTAGTAAGGACAGTGATTGCACCAAATGGGATCCGAAGGGCTACACCCCAGCTGGGATCCAAGAGCCACAGGATCAAGGGTGGCTGCGGGGAAGGTTGAGATGGGTAGGAGGGACCCTGCTCTACATTCCACCCAGACCTAGAGAGCAACGTAAGGGCCAGTGCAGAGCAAGTATAAAGTATATATCCTTCCTGAATAGGAAGCTTTCCAAGAAGCCTGACTCCCACTGCAGTCTTCTGAGCTGACCCCCGGAGCTCCAGAGCTCCACAGAGACCTTTCAGGATGGACACGTGGGGTGGGGAAGCATATAAAAAAAAGAGACATATATATTTATATATACACCTAAAAATAAAAAAGCACTGTTCTAGTTACATGCATCTGAGTAGAACATTGCAAGCCATTTCCTGAGCTCCTGGGGATTTGCCAGAGACCCAGAAAAGCGCGTGCAGGATGCTGCGATCCCACGCACAGCCCTCGTGCAGAGAAGGCAGCGCGAAGCCCGGCTGGATTTAACCGCGGCCGCCCTCTGCCAGAGCGGGATCGGATCGTCGAGGGCAGAGCCGTGAAGCTTTCCTGCTATTTTCTGTCCTGTCTCCTTCCTCTCCCGCTGCCTCCGCGCTCCAGCACCTCTTGCCTGAGTGTGGGGAAGGCGCGGGGGGGCTGCGGTACATAGAGGAGGGGAAAAGAAAATCCACCACGAGCGATGCTCAGCTGCATTCTGGCCATGGCACAAGCTGGGCTTCCCTTACCTGTGCACGAGCTGCAGGTTTTCTTGCTTGAGGCGGCTGTGCTGCTCGCCGTTAGCGGCCGTGTCCTTCTCTAGCTCCGTCACCCGCTTCTCCAGAAACACCACCTGCGCCACAGGAGAGGGGAGGATGAGCCACCCGCGCTTCGACCCGCCGGCACTGAGCGCTGGAGCAAGTCCCACCGTCTCCGGCACGCCGTTCTGGGGCTGCATCGGTCTGTGGCACTGATTCAGAGCTGGTGGCCCAGACGCAGCTTCCAGTGTACCTTATGCTTCCCTCTTTCCTTTCCTTATACCTTTCATGGTGATATCCTACCCAGATAGGTCTAGAGGGAAAGATCCCAGCTGGATCAGCAGAGCTCTGCTGCATCCAAGCACAACCCTGAGGCTGGGGATAACCACCTGCTGCCCAAACTGAGGCTGGAAGACCCTGGGTTCGCAGCTAGATGTACATAAAGCCACGCAGGAGGAACAAAACTAGCTGGTGGGAAAGGATTGGCAATGAGTATTTCCCCCCGTTCACCTATACGGGGTTTATTTCAGCTGTATTTGCAATTTTCATTCACTTTACCTAAATAGCACACAACTTCAAAGAGCAAATGCCCCTCTACCTCCCACCCAAAGTAGCAGCATGTGTGGGAAATCACAGAAGGACTGAGTTTGTGGCCCCAAAATATCTCATTTATACCCATACAAGAGCAAGAAATTATGAGCATGTTCACAAAATCCGAACTGTTGCTCTGCAGAGAAGGGCAAGCGATGTGCAAGAGTATTAATCGAAGAAACATGCAGAGACACAAGCCTTTTCCAGAAGTACATATTTGGTTTCCCAAGCCAGATACCTTAAGGAATAGGTTTTATTCAACTTTCAGACTTAGGAAAATGCTGATTTCTAAATATTTTTCCAAAGGTCTCCTATGTATTATAATTATATCCGAGTGCAGCTACAAATAGATATATATATATTTCTCCTTCATGTGCTGCTCCATGCAGCTCTCTATTCGTGATTCCAGAATTAAAATGCCATTTTAAAGGAGGTGTTGGACTGCAGCAGACATTTACACAAGCCACAACCCAGCTTTTAACCTTCCTTCTTTCCCTTAGCTACCTTCAGCTAGAGATGGTTGAACACCTGTGCTCCTGCCCAGCTCCCTTCTCATCCTACAATCCTTTTCTCATAACATCCCAGGAAAACCCAACAGAACCAGCAAAAATCGGCTTTATATCCCAAGCAGCAACTGCAAGGGCATGCCCAGGAAATGAAGTCCTTGTTTTGCATCAGGCGATTTTGCTCATCTCGGAAGAGGAGAATTTGTGAACAGCAGCAAAGCAGAAGCGAAAACAGAGCCTGCAAGCAGCTACTACTTCCTCCGGCGAGCTGGAGGGAAGTCATCCTCAACCGCAAGCGAGGCAGCACACCTCCAACCCCCAGGGGAGGAGGCACTAGTGCCACCTCCTGACTCGACACAGGACCTCCAAGCTGCGTTTTGTTCCCCATCCCCTCAATGCTGAGGGTTTTGCCTGTTCCCCCAGCACTGACCCACCCAGGGCTGGCCAGGCAGTGAGAGAAGCTTCAGCCAAACTCCTGTCTGGGGATCTCAGAGCATCGCGAGGAGCTAACACGCTCCAAGAGTGCGCCGGCAGCACCGCTCTCACCTTGTCCGTGATGTCCTCTTCTGTACACTCCAGCGTATCCCGGTACGGCTCCTCCATCACTCCCGCAGACAGCGCGCTCGTCTGATGCAACTGCCTATAACGGAGACAAACCATCCCGACCCATAGCAACACCAACGTTAGAGCCAACATCGCAGGACATGGTGATTTCTGACGACAACCTCGCTCTGGCAGGATAGGGTTCCCCTCTCTCCTCTTCTCAGCCAGCACCTCTGAGGGGTGCCAGGCTAACAGGGCTGGGCGGGCAGCTGCTCACGGGCCGAAGGAACGTGCCCTGTGAGGGAAGCGCAGACGCAGACGCACGCTGCTGCGACTTCATCCCGTCACCATTTGTTCTTGCTCTTTGGAATGGGAAGAGATAAGAGCTCACTCTTTTCACTTTCTTTATGGACATACCAAGGCCGTGTCTTATCCAGCAGAGGACAGAGTACTTTGGCCGCTGATAAGGTGAATAAGAAGCGGGGGGCAGCGGGTGGAAAGGGAGGGAGAGGAAAAAAAAAGCCCTGAACCTGTTGTGAAACACCCTAGCCCACCTCCCTGCACCGGCCGCTGCAGCCAAGAGCGAGCTAATCATTAGCAAAGCCTTGCGACACGGGCGCATCACGGCAAGCTAAAGGATGCCCAGCGGAGGGGCTGATCCGTGCTTAATCCTCGCGCTGTGGCCGCAGGTCAGCTCCGTCGTGTCGCGGCACGAGGAACCGTGATCGCCACGGGGAGGGGTGGCTGCGTTCCAGCTCCGTGGAGCCGAGGCAGATGCTGTCTGGAGAAAACCGCTCCGCCCTCCCGTTGCGACTCGAAGGATGAGCAGCCCGATCTACCTTCGAAGGCGGCGGCGCTTTGAGCGGCACGTGAATGAGAAAACCAGAGGTTGCTTTGAACCTCATTTTCTTCCCAGGAATTGGTAACGTGAGCTCTCAGATTAACGGTGCCGCAGCACACACTCACGCAAATATTCCTGAAGCATAACTGGCATTTACCAAAGAGACCAAGGCCGAGCACCAGCCCGGTTTTGCATCCTCACCCTGAGTATATATTTAGATTCTAAAGACTCCGGTGCATTTGTCATTTAAATCATGCCAAGCACAAGAGGGCCCAAGCAGCTGAGATTGCTTGGCACAAGCAGAGCTCAGGTAACGAAAATCAGGAGAGGGTTATTACCAAAATAGAATCAATTTCCTAAAAGGAAATGTTTTGGTATTATTCAATAATTACAGCAGCTGTGACAAAAGGGTTTTCTTTGGGCTGATCTTAAGGATTTGGCTCTACTCCGCAACAAACCCTGTTATCTCTCTTGTTATCACAAACTAAGCTTGAGTGCTCTTGAATTAACCTAAGCCCACAAGTCTCAGTCTCAGAAAAACATTTTGCAAATGCGAATGGCCAGGAGGGCTCAATCTGTCGGAAAACAGGGCACGTCTATTCCCAAAAGTTTAACTCAAATCCTCTAAAAACAAGTCCTAAAACAGGAAACCCGAGGACAGGCTGCTCCCTTCGACCCCCTTTCCTGCCAGTGTTTTTAACAAAGATCTAGAAAGTAAGATGACCGGAACTAGGAAATGTAATATCGAGAACCTGCTTCCTTGCCAGGAAGGGAAATCGTGCCAGGGGAGACTTGCTGATCACAGGAAAAATGGAGAAGGCAAAGGTGTGAGAGCGTAGCTGGGAGGGAAAGAAGCTGCTGGGGTCAGCGCAGGGAGCAGCCCGAGTGCCAGGGCATGGGGGTATGAGCATCACCCGAGCCGAGCTTAAAAGCAGGGTGACATGGGAATAGGAGGGATGGTGAAACTGGGGAAGGAAAAGTGAGCACCAAGCATCATCACGAGGGGATGGGCCCTCTGCCTTGGAGACCCGGAGCAAAATCTGCAGCTTCTCCTGTGCAGTCAGAGATAAAAATGCCCACCAGGAAAGGGCAAGAGCGACCCGTCTTGGAGGGATTTCTCCCAAAGCCCCTGACCGAGCAGGGGAGGATGTTACCGCAAAGCCAAACGCTGAGGATTATGCTGAGCAAAGTAAAAAAAAAAAAAGAAAAGAGCTGTCTAAGGTGACTGGCTTTTTTTTGGGGTGCTGGGTGCTGGAGAAATCCCCCCTGAGGGGGCGTACTGACTGGTCCAGGCTTTTTTAAGGTTCTAGAGTCCCACCGTGGTGACACAGGTGGGAGGTCTGCCCTTCTGGAATGAAGGGGAATGACCCCCTGCTTTCATCCTGGAAAAAAATCAGGTTGACACCAGCAGGCACGAGTGAGTAAACTCCTATTTTCAGAAGAACAGCTATTCCTAACAACATCGGAATTAAACCTGCTTTTCCCCAGTGCTACGCCGCCCAGGAGCACGATGCAGCAAACTTATTTGGATAGCCTTCCCTTCCACAGTCCTGGCAGCTCCTACGGGCACCCCTCTCACCAAGCAGTACCAGGAGTGTTGAGCTTACCTTGCCACCTTCTTGCTTGAGAGTCTCTTATTCGGACTGCAAAACGAAGGGAAAACAGGAAAGAGTTAGGAAAGCTGACAGGGGAGAGTGAGGGAAACGGGAAGCTGCAAGCAGTCCGGGGCACATCCTTTGCTACGGCAGGGGAGCACCCACGCGACACGCACCGCCCGGGGGGAAAGGCAGGCGAGGAAACCGCTCGCGGACCAAACGGCGCGGCGACAACGAAGCGAACGGGATAACGCCGCAATAAAAACCTCACCGCCTCCAGGACCACTGGTATCCTCTCACCAGCTGATCCCTGCCCTGAAAGCCGATCCCCAAGGAAAAAAAGCTAATTATAGCAGCCGGTTTGGGTGGGATTCAGCCTGGAACTGATGGCTACAGGGAGATAAGTCTCCTGCACCCCACGGCACCCCAGCCCTGCTGTTTTCCCCCCCGGTGGCTGGGGGACAGGGTGCACCACTTCCATCCTTCTGCACACTGGTCTGCATTACTGGTGTCACCTGGCTCTGGATCACCGGAGAATTGCCGCCGACTTGTAACTCAGAGGTTTTAGGAGCCTGGCGATCGTGTTCCTTTGTGGATTTTAAGCACGGGCACTGCTGCAGGTGCTGGGGAGGGCAGCAAACTCTCCCTCACACGCTGAGGAAGATCACCCCCCTGCCCCGGCTCCAGCTGCCGCCATACCACAGCGGTCAGGGCTTAGCTAACGCTCAGCGTGACCCAAACAGCCAGGGGACAGGGCTGCAGGCTCTCCCCACCGAGAAAGAAAACCCTTTTTCAGAAACGGCTACTTGCTAAGACGTTCCTTCCAGTCCTTTGGCCATGATCGCTGCAGCTGCCGGTCAGTGGAGCAAGCAGCGCTTAGAAATATCTTCCTCATCTTTCACCCAAAACCACAGGCTGGTGTCAAACTGATGTCCCCAGGATAAGCCACTGACACTGAACTATCACCAAACGATGGCGGCAAATATAGCAGCAAACACGGCTCTAGTCCGTGCGGAGAAACAGCAGCTGCATTCCCTGGTGCTAAAGCTCAGTTTAAAGGGGAAAATAAAAAAATAAAATCACCTGGGAGTCCACCCCTGCCTACAGCTGCAACAATCAGATTAGTTCTTAGAAGGAGGAATTAAAAATAGCTGAGGACAATTTTCGTTTTTAAAAAAACCTTAAAAACAATGACTGACCCGGGGTCTGTGTTACCAGGGTTACCGGCCCTGGTGTCACAGAAGTGTATCCTCAAGCCCCAGCCTTCCAAGGAGCGCAAGAGCTGCTGCTGGCCACGCTTCAAGGACACTCGGCGCCCGCCCGAGGGGAGGAGGTCAGGCCCCCGGGTTTGCCAGCGAGCGTAACGAGTCACGTATGTCCCCGGCACCCGAGGGAGGAAAAATATTTTTCTCTGCAAACGGCTTTTCGGAAAGCAGCGTCGGCACCTGCGGGTCTCTGAAGGGGATGAGACACATCGCTGCTTCAAGGGCACCGAAACAAAACATGCTTTTGCAAAACTGGTTCATCATAAGCTCCTCGCAGACTTTTTTTCCTGCCTTGCCGTGGGCTCCAGCAGCTGTGCTCCAATGCTGGGCCCAGGGCTCCCCACTTTATTTCCCGCATAAAACAGAGTATATATGCCCACAGCCTTTTAAGAGTGTGGCTAGGGGGTGACTAGGGCTTTACCTGTCCTCTGGAGCAGGCATCGTTGCCTGGCCAGCACAGCACAAGGCTGCTTGGCCCACATTTTGGTCCAGTTTCTGCTGTTCTCTTCACCTCCAGTCTAGGACTTGTCCCCTGCACCGAGGGCTTCGCATTGCCGGTGATGCTGGGAGCAAACAAGAGGTCCAGCCACATCCCACACAGGGACACCTCTGACACCCTCACCGCAGGAAGGTGCCCCTTCCATCGAGTCAGTGCTCAGGGGCACTTGGAACTCATTTCCAGCAAATTCAGGCATGGGGAACCCTGAACACAGATGGAGGAACCATCCCGGCTCGCCCATTTTAAATGAAAACCTACGGAATTCCTGTTGCGGCACCGTGGGATGGGAAAGCCTCTCCTCTGGGAATGCCATCCGTCACAGGAGGCTCTGCGGGGTTAGTTCAGCTTTGCAGGTGAGTTTGGTGGAGAAAGACTGAAATGGAATGGGGCTACTGGTGCATCCAGTGCTCTCCTTAATAACTACGTCACCTGAGACTCATCGCTGACCCTTTAGGCCCCCAACAGCAAAGGCAGCTATTTACCCCAGAAAGGGAGAGAAGAGCTTTTTCCATTAAAAAAATTAAGGTCAAGCTCCTATTTTGTTTTCCAGTTCTTTTCCCATAGCCCAGGAGAGCTCCTATGGCACACTGTCCCTGCAGAGGACACATAGGGACTGAGAGCATGACTGAAAACTAGGCTTGAAAAAGCTTGGGGAAAAAAAAAACCACAACAAAAAACCAACTCACGAAGCTCCTAAGCAAAGGCCCCAGCGATTATTATCCATGTCCACCCAGCTAGTGGCAGCACGGGGGTGGGCAGGCAGCTGGCGAAGCTGAGTGAAACGAGATCTGACTGCTGCAAAGGGAAAGTACCTACAGGAGAGGTCCCAAACCACCGAAAGCGAGCTGACGGTTCCAGGTTACTCCTGCCCCTTCCAGGATCAAAGCAGCAATTCAGGCGTGCCTCCTCCACGCTAGGTATCATCAGCCAGAAGAGCTGGCAGTCTTTTAGTTGGTGACAGAAATACTGTACACAATCAGCTTACAGTTTCAAGTCCCGATGCAAGGAAAGCGTGAACTTGGAGCGTGGAGAAGCATGCGTGTCTCAGCAAGACATGCAAAGAGGCTGCCCAAAGCAGAAGGGAAGACTCTCATTGTCCATTTTGGGTTAAAAGGAAACTTCTGCTCACCCTCCGTAATGTTAGAACAACCTTTACCACCTTGTTTGGTGAAATCCATCCCCTTTTGCAACCAGGATTCAAGCAACGCGCCAGCAGAAGAAAGCTGTGCAAGACAAGGAGAGTCTTCCCTTCCAGAACCTCATTCCCAGAGACTGAAACGGCCACACACGAGCCCCAGTTACCTATTCATTTCAAGATCATTCAGGCGAGCAGAAAGATCCTCGAGGCGGTTGATTTGTTTGTGGCACTGGCTACAGTAAAACTCAAATGCTTCATCTGCGATAATGCTGTGCAGTTTCGCAGCGAGCGGATTGGTGCTAGAGAAATCACAAGGGTCATTTTTAACAGGACAGAACAGACGTGGCTGATTTTCCTCCGTGGCTTCCACAAGCTGAGCAGGGAAGGGGAGCTCTGGGGTGGGTGAGATACGAGACTCGCAGTTAAAAACTTGAGGGCAGATTCTACGAGTGGGTCACCTCTCCGCTTCCATTTGAGAAGCTGAATGGCAGCCTCTACGGAGTTGCTATAAATGAGCAGGATTTCCATCACCCTCCTCCCAGAGATTGACAGCAGCCAAGCTCAGCTTTCCAAACTCCTGTGCCAGTGGCTCTTGCAGAGGGAAAACCCCCCAAGAGCTCACAGAAGGCGAGGTGCCTGCTCTCCACAAACCTACAGCACTACACAGTTTATTTTCTGACTCCATTTTCCAAGTAACCTGGCTCTAGCAACAGGTCCGGGTTTGCCTCGCTTAAGTGCAGACCAAACTCATGAACCACCACACCGAGCAGGAGCCAAATCCTGTTTTCCGACGGGATGCTTAAAAAACAGAGCAGCTGTGCTCCTGCAGGTTTTCACTGCAAGAAGCTTTTAAGCCAAGCTCAAAAAGCGGGCTGGCAATTCAGCCGCTCTCTCCCAGAAAGCGAAGCACAGAAGTGCTGCAGGGAGTGTCATTTGGTAAGGGGACATGGGGGTCTATAGGACTTTCACTGTCTTGGGGAGCTGGCAGGTCCAATCACCGTTATATTTTTAGCTGTGGACATGGAAAACAAGGTGCCAAGGCATTCAAGGAGACTTGGCAAACCAGGGAGCCACTTCCCTCACCTGAGATGACTTCGTGCAGGACAGAGTTTGGCCAAGGGATTCTGAACAGCAAAGAGTCTGTGTTGCTTTGGGGCCAAATATACCTTGTCTGGAGGAGAACATGCTTCTGGAAGCCACGGATTTTAATCAAAGAAAGGTTAATTGTGAAAAAAAACAAAGCAGTTCAATAAGAAAGACAGGTAAAGGTGTGAGCAAACACAAGCAAGCTTAAAATCAAAGGGCTAGTCAAGCCCGTGATACAGATACACACCGGTAAGTCCTGGCCCGGGAGATGCTGAGTGCACAGGACACCTCAGGAGGGATCCCTGAGCTCAGCACTTTTGCATAACCCCTCACTGATGTTTTTGGTGGCAGTGGGGTGTCAGCAGCCCAGCCACCCCCAGGGTCAGGCCTCTGAGTTTGTGCCATCTGTACAGTATTTCTGAGCCCCCTTAGAACAGGAAAGGGGACAACAGCAAATCCCGAGAATTGCTCACCACTTCCCATTCCTGGAAAAAAAAAATTGAAAAAAAAGCTTCCTACAACCCTCTTAGGCAGGTTTGGACCCATGGTAATCATTATCCACCAGCAGTTAGTTTGGTCGCTTGGGTTTTGTGCAGGGTAAGGGGTGACAGAAGCTTGGCGGCACCTGGAAGAAGCAATGTGCCCTTTCCTGGGCTCTGCCCCCGCACCAGGGGAGTCTTCTTCACCCGTCGTGAACAGCTCGCTTGGCTGGGTGCATCCCTGGGTGAGGCGTGAACCCCAAAACCCTAACCTGCGATCATCAAAACGGGAAAAGCAGCGCAGAGGAGGGGAACCCGCAGGCTAGCCTGGCAAGTCTCAGGCTGCGTGCAGATAGATTTGGCCCCTGGCGGCGTTGGTCGTTCGCCCATCGAGTGGGCGAGAGCTCACCCGTGCTGCGCCTCAGGATGTCCCCACCTCCCCCTGGATGGCAAGGTGCCACGCTCCGCGCCACAGGCAGCTTCCCTGCCTCC